CACTTAAAGAAACATGGCCTAGAAGTTATTTCAATCAAACATAATTAAGTAAATTGAAATATTAAGAAAATTAAAAAGTAAAACTCAGAGGAGGTGGTCGGGAGTAGGGCAAATTTGAGAGGCATCTGGTGAAGTTCTGAGGCATGAGTTTGGAGAAGGAGGAAGGGGAGTTTGGGGCATCAGGACAGGAGAATCAGGCCTGTGAGGTAGAAAGATGCAGAAAGGGCCTGGACTGATGGCAGTGACCTGGGCTAAGACATGCATGGAGAAGGCAGAATTGTCAGGGTGACTGGGCTCAGCTAAAGGTGATGCCTGCTTGGTCTGTGGCTGGAAAAAAATCTGAAGAAGAGAGTACCCAAGTTGGTATGATCCAGATAGTTTCTGGGACGTGAGGCCGGAGGCAGGTAGAGGCGGAGGGAGGTGATGCTAACTTGACCAACAGTTCAGGTTCAACATTAGGAGGAACCAGGACTCCAGGCAAACCCCTTCTGGGTGCTCCATGCTCTGCCCTGGGCTTGAATTCCCTGGCAGCCCCAGTATGGGTTGGGTGTGATCATGGCTAACAGCCTCTCTTTCATTTCACCATGCTCTAGTTTTAAATCTCTTCCCAGAATTGTAAAACCAACAACCAAGAAATCTACTGTAAAGGAAACTCTTAGCGTCAGAATACAGAAATGAATTTGCTCATATCCAGGAATGGAATGGAAATGCCTTCCCAGGCGGGTGTCCACACCAGCCAGCTGCAAACACCCCCTTTCTGATAATGAGGGACAGACAGAAGGCATTTAAAGACATTCAACAGAATGACTCAATCTCTTACCCAAAAACATGTGCCATGATTTCCATTGTAAGTTATGGTATGAGTGAGTCAGTGAGAGAGCTAAATTTAGAATTTTCAAGGGACTCTCCCCCACCCCTCAATGCTAGAAGCTTCCATTTAAGTTCAGGAGGAGTAAAATGCTGATGCAAGCAGTTTTTGACATTGCTGGGACTAAGCTACCCAGCACATCAGGATGACAACAGCTGCAAGGATCACCCACCAAAAGGACTGAGGCTGAAATGCTGCAGGGTCTTGGGGTCACATGATTAGTGGGGGCTTTTGGAGGATAGAATACCTAGAGTCTGGGATCCTGTGGTATTGGAAAGCAGTCTTTCCACTGGGCCATCAGAGGAGGACCAAGCTATAATGATCAGTGGCCCAGATGAGTAGAGAAGGAACACAGGGCCAGGGGAAGATGGAGTAGTAAGTCACAGGCTAAAACCAGGCATGGAACGCTGCTCCAGGGAACAGAATAGTAGAGCTGGTTAAGAGGGGCAGCCCAGAGTTAATAATGGAGCAAACCAAATCAGGCGCTTATGGGTCAAGGACAAGTTCCTGTTATTGAGCCCAAATTGAGCAAACTATGGGCATCCAGTGGCCTTTGAAGTAGCTGTGTGCTGGTTCATGTGTGCCAGTGTTGCTGTGACAATTCCGCTCTGCCATCTTATTTGTCTCTGCTATGGGACAGCAGGCCACTCTGTTTCTCAGCATCTCAGGATAAACCATGTTAGGCTAAATAAATATCATAGCTAAATGTCACAGCAGGCAGCTTGGCGGATGGCAGTTCCTCTGCTCCTTCTCTTCTCAAGGGAAATTACTGGTTTAAATCACAGGCAGTGTCTTGATTTCACCTCTGTGGATACAAGCTTGAGAAAATCAAGACTTGTTGTGGCATGATCGGAGTGGTGGGAGCAGCACCACGTGGAGGATGAATAACGAGTTTGCTAACTGTGCCATGGCACCCAAGCCATGACACATCAACTCAGGCACTAGATGTGCTCGGCAATTCACTGGGGAAAATGAATACCACCCCGAGCTTCTAAGAATGCAAACTCTGAGAGGCTGAGGCAGGAGGATGACAAGTTCAAGCTCAGCCTAGGCAACTTAGTGACTTAGCAAGACCCTGTCTTTTTTTTTTAAATGTTTTTACAATTTAATAAATAGCTTCTTGATGAATGTAGTCATGACAGTTGAGCAGTATCGAGTTATGGTTTTCTTGATTGGTCTGTAGTCTTCAGTAAATGTAAGAAGTTACTGTATGAAACATCTGTCAAACTAGTAAGACTGCATTGATGCATCCATCATTTTCAGGATTGTTAGTTACCTGAGCATATTTACCCCAGATAACCTTGCCTCCTTCTGTCATAAGGCCCAACTCACTCATGTTCACCTCAATCACTGTTCCTTTGGTAATCACACCCAAAGTTGTCTACAGTGGCGATGAAGGATTCTTTTTCACACCAAGTATTGGCAGGCAAAAGGTGGCTTTCAGTTCAGGATGTGTTACGTGGGCTTCTTAAAACGTAAGCCCATTGGCCTAATGAATCTTTCATATGTAGGTCATTTTCTTGTAAAGCCATCTCCAACAAAGCAGACTTTAGTAACCATCCTCTTCCATGCCTTCTTTTTTCTCTTTCCAGTTTGAATAACTTTTAATACTTCTGTTTCTCCTTGGGCATGAACTTTGGGCAAAGGAACTTCCCATTTTCCTGCCTTTTCTTTCCGTTTCTGCTTAATCATGTTGGAAAGTACTTTTGCACGAGACTGTCCTTCTCTGTCCAAAAGGTAGGCAGGTACTGCTCCTTGTGGAGTCTTTTCATCATTCTTTTGTTTGGTGTTTCTCTTTTCATGCATTTTGATAGTCTTCTTCATTTGTATTTTCTCCGTATGGCACTGTTTGTGGTAGAGCTTAGCCTTCAGGCCAATCATTTTGGTTTTTTGCCTTCTTTGAACATTCATGAACCTCTCGACTTTTGTTTTTTCTCATTTTCTCATAGTAATCCAAGCAGTACCCATAGCATTTATGATGTAATTCAATATATTCATTCTGTGGCATGATGACAGCTGCAGAGCCACCACTGGCAGCCTCAAGAGTGCAAAGAAAAGTCCTAACTTGGGGGGGTCCCAAACACACCAAGACCCTGTCTTAACACTAAAAAAAGACCTGAAAGACACAATCTAAAAGAGAATGGGTGTATTTAGGCTCACAGTTTCCAAAGTTCAGCCCATGACTGGCTCCAAAGCAGAAGCATCATGGTGGAAGGTCCTGACACAGGACAGCTGCTCACCTGATGGCAGTCAGGAAGCAGAGAAAAAAAAGGGAAGGGACAGGGAGCAAAAGCATACCCATCCAGATCAGGCCCCCAGTGACACCCTGTAACAGTACATTCAGCTACAAATTCATCAATGGATTAATCCACTGGTAAGTTTAGTGCCCACATGATCCAATTATCTTGAAAATCTCCACCTCTCAACACATGAGATTTTGGGTGACATTTTTGATCTAAAGAATAACATACACTATCATATATTTTTTATGTAGGATTATGGAGAAATATATGTCAAAAATTTCAATATTCATACCTTTGACAAAGTTATAACTAACCGTAGACTTTATCTTTAGGACCTAACGGGACAAGGAAGGGAACAAGGATGTGAATTAAGGGATGGTCATGATAATGTTTTGCTAGAGATCAAACAATGTAAATGAAGTAAGTGGAAAGAAGTAAAATATTATAAATGAATTAAATGGGAATGTTCTGGCTAAGGAAAATATGACAGAACAGTAATGAATGCTGTGTAGTAAAAAGTGATTGTTGTTCTACCTTTCTTGGAACAGAAAGGTACATATTTGTCTTAAGGATAAACGTGACTGGCTTATATCATCAAGTATGCATAGGAAAGTTATTTATATCTATCAAAAGGGATTATATTTCCATACCTGTAAGTAACCACACATATAGAACTGGGCCTGGAAAACAATACACAAATCAGTCATTTCCTCTGGGGATGACACTGTGAGAGAACCGTATGTGTATATTTTTCATTGTTTTCTGAGATTTTGTCTTGTTTTATTTTGGTGCTTATTTGTTTGTTTTATAATATCAGGAACTGAACCAAGGGACTTATGCATGCTAGGCAAGTGCTCTACCACTGAGCTACACCCCCAAACCTTTTTACTTTTTGCTTTGAGATAAGGTCTTTTTCTTTTTTTTTTTAAACCAGGAATTGAATTCAGGCCTTTGTGCTTGCTAGGGAAGTGCTTATTCTACTGAGCCATCTCCCTGGCCCAAGACAAGGGCTTGCTAAACTGCCCAGACTGGCCTCAAGTTCATTGTCCCTTTCCTTAGCCTCATGCTGAAGTTTGTAAATAATAAGCGTGTATTTATTTCACAATCAGAAAAAAAGGTCGAAAAGAAGGAAAATAACAACTTAATTTTTAGTCACTATTCATGTTAGGAACTCAGAGAAATTAAGGAAACTCAGAGAACTTTGAAGAAATTAAAGAGAGCCTTTCAGTAAAAATGACCATTAGATTCAAAGTCATGCTTTAATTAGGACAGATTCAGTTCTGTATGTATCAACCTGGCTTTCAAGCTCAGTGGGCTGTAACCTATATCCTGGTTGAAATAAGATGGTTTTAGCCCAAAATAGATAAGGTTAGAATCCTAGCAAAAGTTATGACCTTCAAATAACTCCAAAAGGACCCAAAAAATGGAAGACAAAGAAAGATGTATGAAATCCATTTAGTTCTTTGGATACCAAAATGACTACAAAAGTATCAGCTCCAAAAATATCCCAGAAAAAGGCATCTATAGGAGAAATAGAAAGCAAAAATTTGGCAAATAGCTGTCAAAAATCCAGTGTCAAAAAAAAAAAATCCAGTGTCAAAAAAGCCTTTGGAAACCAGTCATGTGTCACCAATTATATATATCCAAGATCAGTGTAATAGAAACTCACTGCCAAAAGCAATGGGACATTTTTAATGCCCTAAAAATCTCCTTTCAATAGCCACTCATAGTTTAGAGTTAATGTTAATATTTTTACTTGTCTAACCATTGGTGACAAATTCTGACCTATGAAAAAGAAGAGAGATATCACAATATCAACCCATTCTACCACATCATATCTAAGATATGTTTTACATAAAAGTGTCTTTTATTTTCATCTCTAGGAAAAGTACAAAGAAGAATCAAGAACAATGGCCAAGTTGACAGAATCGATGAGTAAGTAACCTGGAAGTTATCACTTATGTTTTGTTCCCAATAGAACAATACAAAATCATGTAGAAATGACATCCCTATGCAATTATTCGGTTTGTCCTTGATCTTTCACTTATGCAATGGTTGACATGTTTGACATAGCAGATTGTACTGTTCTGATGTTTCTCATGAATTATTAAAAATTTGTCTGGCTTGAAGGCAAATATCTGTGCTAATGTTGTTAGCCAAATTAAGAGTTAAAAATTGAAATAAGTTGTATCTGTAGCGCTGTGTGGAGGCTCAGAAACCAGAATAATTTCCACCTGACTTCTAGGAAGTTTAGCGCAAGGCATTGAAGTTGTATGTATATTATTTCATGGACTGCATAATCTAACAAAGGAAAGATTGGTGAAGGATTGTTAAAGCTTCCAGGTGTTGCACAGAAATTTCAGACAGAATTATTTTCAAGTGGAGTACTTGAGATGTGAGTACCTTGTAATGACTTATGTTTTGAATACATCAGTGTTATAATGCCCTCAGCTCTTAAGCGAACTATACAGGATACACAAAGCATTTTAGGAATAAAGTGGAATTAATTATAATAAATCATCCCGTAAATGAAAAATGTAATTTCCTCTGTTGAGGTTTAAATATTAGAGACTGTGCAGATACAGAAAAGCCGACAGTCCAGACCATTTTCTTTGAAAACGCACATTGCTCTTGGTGATAGATTTCACATGAAAAGTTATAAAGGACTTGCAAACCTTTCTACAGCATCTTTAGGGCTATGAATACCTTTACTCAACTTGGCTCTCAGAATTAACCATTACTCTTGCCCACTTTTAACGATGCACCTGCATGCTCCTATTATTCTACAGATCATAAGGCTATCAAATACAAGTATTTCTGTGTAACACACTTCATGAATCTTTATCCCCAACTCTTACCTGTCCCCTAGGAAAAGTGATGTTGACATTTGTTTACATTGCATTCTTGTAACTCCTGACCCCAAACTTCTGTCTAAATTCACGTAAATCCAGACTACATGCTAGATTTGCCATGTAAACGATGGCTCAGAGAGAAAAGGTAAGGAAAACCCCACACTGGGTATCGAGTTTTTCCTTGTCTTCTGTCTTTACTTCTCTATCTCCTCCTGCCTCTCTCTCTCTCGCTCTCGCTCTCTCGCGCTCGCGCTCGCTCTCTCGCTCTCGCTCTCACTCTGTCTCTCTCTTTCACACACACACACACACACACACACACACACACACACACTTCTTTTCTACCTCTAGTCTTACAGACTGAGAAATGTCAAAAGGATTCATCTCTTGATTTGAAGAACTCCAAATTAGGACCCATGTAATCCCAGTCCAAAACTGGGTCTTTGTAAGTGAAAAAATCATCTCAAAGTCATACAGGATGTACACTAATCAGACATGGCATGAAATAGGAAGGTTCACAGGACCACCGTAAATCTTAGGAGGCTGTATTTTCAAAATGTGGAATAGAAACATGGACAGCACTGACTCATTCACAATCCACAAGTGAATGGATTTCATTGCATTCTGTAAATCTGAATGACCAGCAAAAATGACCCACAGGTTCTCTGAGTGGCAAAAATAGCAATAACTTGGAGGCTAGTATCATTGCTTGTTACTGTAGTCTTCAGTGTACGGGTGAATTTAAAAAGTGTTGCACATGTGTTGTGAGATTAAAAGTTACATGGCTTTTGTTAGAAGTTGATAGTCTACTACAGTGAATATTGCTTTTGAACTCACCTAACTGAATTGTAAGATATTACAGGCTCTGTACTGGTCAATATTTCTGATAAAGACATTTTATTTTTTCAATCAGATTGAAATTTAGATTCCAGTTTTAGTCTAATAAGAGTGCCTCACTTCACTGCTACTTTGTTGGTTTTAGATTCAGGTTTGTTTCTAATCATTCTAGTAACTTTGGTTTCTGAATACATTGTCTTAAAAGAACTTGGTCAAAATTCAATTCTTAATGCTTGAGTAAGTGAAATGGTACAGACTTTCTTTTAAATTGCTTTGTTTTTAAGGAAAAGATCACAAAGACATGTTCAGTGTGTGAGGAAATATAAGGTTTAACAGCAGACTTTGGGGCCACATCCAAAATACCAGTTCACTCATTCTCACGAAGTTGCAAGATGTTACAAAATATGTTCTAAGGGGCCAGGGAGATGGCTCAGTAGAATAAGTGCTTGCCTTGCAAGCATGAGGGCTTGAGTTCAATCCCTGGTTCCAAAAAAAAAAAAAAATCCCCAGTACCGCAAAATAAATAAACAAAATATGTTCGATTTGCTGCAGCTCTTCTAGTACTATGAAACACTAACCCTATGGTCAGCACTAATAAACATATCGTAAAGTATTAATTCATGTAGTTAGTATTTAGTCTCCATAGAAAATCTATAAGGAAATAAGTACTTAAGTAAGGAGCTCCTAGCAATAGCTGAACAAAGACTGAATATAAAATTACTACACCATAAAGCTGATGAGTACATCAAATTTGCAGCCACCAGAGGAAAAGGACATCAAAAGAACTACAAATACCCAGGACAGAGTGCTCTGAATAGGTTTCCAGAACCAGTAAACACTTTGCTTGATAAACTGCCAAGCAAAAACCATCTGGTTACCAGAACATCTCTGCTTCACCAGAACTGCTAGTGACTCTTCTAGCATCGCCATACATGGCTAAATGCTATCAACTGCTAAGTACATACCACACCCTCGTTTTCTAGAGCAAGGATGAGAAGGATTCTTATCCTGTGCCATTAAACAATCATATCAAAAAAAAAAAAAAATCAACTGTAGTCATTTTTCTAAAGAGCAACTGGGGGGGTCGGCAAGATAGCTAAGTGATCTATAGCACCTGCTTAGGTAAGATTAGCAGGTACAGGGGACTGCAGTTCCATCCCCAGCACCACATGCCGTGCCAGACCTGCCCTCAGGATGGGCTGAACCAGCCAAAAAAAAATGGAGTAAAGAGCAACCAGGAGACTTAAAAATAGTAACAGATTTTTAATTGCCTGTTTAAAAGCAACTTTCTTTAGAAAAAAATAATACTTTAAAATATTTTGTTCCCATTATTAAAATGACCAACATGTTAAAGAGGGAAAAAATAGAAAGAAGGAAGATATGGAGGGAGAGAGAAAGAGAAAAAGCACATAAGAAAAATACCTATCTATCTATCTATCTATCTATCTATCTATCTATCTATCTATCGATTTATTAAGGAAAAAGACAAAAATCACAAGTAACAACAAAGCAGAGAAGCCAAAAAGGAGAGGTGAGCAGAGCTCGAAACAGAAAGAGGAGCCAGAGGACTTGAAAATCAGCAACTACAGGAGCCGTTCACCACGTGGACCCACACCCTTGCTCTGATGCTGCCCTTTGAAAGTTCAGTGTTTTCATCCTTGAGATGGATCTTTTCCATTTAGACCACCAGAAGCTCTGCTGAAAGGGGGCACCGGAAAACCCACCCTGGAGCTGTCTCGCTGAGCGTCCCCTTGGGCATTCCACACGCACTTTTTCACCCCACCCACCCACTCCAGCACGATGGAAAGCTGAGCCCCAGGGAGGTTGCTACCTCGCATGTAGCGACACGGACTCTGCCAGCATCAGGGATGAGCAGGCCCTGTCCTGAGCCCTGGGATCAAAGCCAGATAATGATAAATTAGAGGTGTCCAGAGACATGCAAGTAGCCCGGGGCTCTGAAATCACTTCATACCTTTGCAGGTACCTCTTACTTTTTTTTTTTTTTTTTTTTTTTTATAGTACTGGGGATTGAACTGACCCATTTTAAATTTTTTATTTTGAGACAGAATCTTGCGAAGTGACTAAGTTGCCCAGTCTGGCCTCCAACTTGTGATTTTTCTGCATCAGCCTCCCAGAACACCATGATAACAGGCATACACAATCAGGCCAGGCTGTTCAATTTCTTACATAAATTACTTCATGGCCTGTTCCTGCTGTTGTACCCTAAGAGCTCCTGGAAACACATATGTAGCACCCCCGTGGTTTTTCTGTAGTCCTAATTGCAGTCACCTATCAAGTCCTGTATACAGGGACCAAAATGCAAGTTAGACAGGTAAGGAACTAGTGCCAGTCCCTTCTCCAGGCTGCAGGACCTGGCCCGCGCCTCTGTTGCCTTCCCCAGTCATGTGTTAGCAGCAGGTTGTTGTGTCAGTACAGGATACCTCAGTTTCTTGGACCTCCCTCTAAGCTCTGTGGGCAGGAGGAGCTGACTTCCTCCACCTTGCAGGCTCTCCTGAGCACATGTGCCCCAGTCTTTCACTTTTCCTGCCAGAGCATCCCTGGGCCACACTCATGAGTCATTCCACCCAACCCACCCCCTCCTCCCAAGCCACCTGGGTGTGATAACTGTAACACCACACCTAGGAAAGGGCACAGCTACTCAACATTATCATAAACAACAGAGTAGCAGCCCTATTCCAGACAACTCTAGGCACTGAATCCTGACCCAGCCCCTGAGAGAAGGAAATCATGGCTCCTCACCACCCATGGCCACTGACTGCTCTGCAAAGTATTCCTTGACCCTGGCTTTCTGCTTTAAAGTAGAGGGAATTTCTCCTATGATTAATGAAACAGCTCAAATTTAGCACAGATCTGAACTTTTCCTGGGTCAAATGAAATAAGGAGGGGAACCAATTACAATCACCACATATTAAATTAGATCTATTACAGCAAAGTGGGTTTTTTAAATTATTTATTTCCTTTCCTATGTTGCTGCTCCTCTAACTCTGGCATAGCGTTAAGGCTTTGCAAGGATGGGGCTCCTTCCTGCATGGGGGCAGACTTGGGTGAAAGAGGCCAGACACTAGAACTGAGGGACCCCTGCACAGGCCACCTGGTTACTTGCAGATAGCAGGTCCTTGCCCACAAGACCTTCCTGCTCAGACCTCAGCTTGCTCTTGGATGAAAAAATTACCAAGAGATGAGCAGGAAGCCATGGGAGTGAGTGCCAGGCTTGAGCACTGGCTAGAG